TTTCTTTTTTTAGTATATCAGATTACTATATCTTTTTTTTTGCTTTTTTCATCTTCGTTTATTTATAATCAAATCAATTGATTAATTATACTTTTTATTAGTAGCCTCACCTATTCTGCAAGAGATCCGAAGAGTAAATACTTACATTCATGCCTTTGCGTTCTATAACGTAAGTTTAACAATCTAAATCTTACTCTATAGAAATAAGCATGAGTTAGTATAATACCCTATAAAAGGATTTGTATAAACTTGTTTAATATAGATTCCAATCCGGATAAATCCGTCATCCGTTTATCCGTACCTAATTATCCCGATAATTCAGATATCTGGATAATCTGACAGGTATTCGGATAATTATCCGGATATCAATAGTAAATGGGTAGTAATGGATATCCGAATAAATCCAGATCCGGATATCTGATTGTTATCCGGATAAATGCTTAATGGATTGGAACTCTAGTTTAATATTTGTATAACATACATAAAACTATCTAAAAAAGCACCAGTCTAACTAATTTTTGTTTATTTCAAATAAACCAAAAACTAGACAAAAAAATTAGACAAAATGGTGCTTTTCAGACATTTTTTACATATCAATACAAATATTAAACAAGTTTTATATAAATCTTTTTATAGGATGTTAGAATATTTTCTAAAGTTTTAATTTCAGTAGAATATGTAAGTACGTACGTATCAGTGTTGGCTTTGAACATATGTCCAATGATTTTGAAAACGATTGGACATATAAAATTTTATATGTCCAATATTTTTTTAAATTTTTAGACTTATGTCAATGCTAAGCATTGGTACGTTGTGAAAGGGTGGATTGTGGCTTGAACCCAACTTTCTTATTATCGGGAATCGGATGCATATAAATTTGGACTTATTATAGGCTAGATCGTCGCTGAGGTGGCTCAGGTCGAATCTTCAGGGAAAACTTAGATACGTCAGATCTGTCACATATGTCAGATCTGTCACATATGTCAGATCTGTTAGATATGTCAGATCTGTTATATACATAATGTCTGTTAGATATGTTACATATTTTATATATGTTAGATATATATGTTATATATGTTAGATATGTTAGATATAACAGATAGAATTAGCGAATTAGAAAGTAGTTCAAGAATGTATAAGGCCTAAGAGTTCGTCTTGAATAAAGTTAGTTATCGTTTTACGCATAAACTCATAATAGTTCGTTCTCCTAATTCCCCTATAAACTATCTTATAGTCCTGTGACCCGAATTAGAGCCTCGTGACGTGTCTAGAGCTCTATTTGGCCCTAATAACTCGGACCAAGTCTTTCCACGCCTCTTTCGTGCCTACCACTATTAGGGTTCGATAGAGTTTAGCTGTTGTAGTGTTTATTTGGATTAGTTGGGAAGGTTGATGAACAAGTACTCTAGTGATGTCTTCATGATAATCACATCACATGATTAAGTGTTCGACCTACGTTAGGGTTAGTGTTAGGGTTAGGTGATATGTTAGTTTAGGCTAATTTGTTTAGTGCTAGTAAACAAATGACGTAATTGCATGATTTCACATGATGTTATATATATAGGAATTTTTAGATCTGATGTAATCACATGATTTATATTAATTTTGATTGGTTAAAAAATCATATAATTACTAATCATCGTGATTTTAAAATTTCATTGTCAATCTATTTAAAGAATAAATGATCATTATGCTATCAAATTGGTTTCATAATTACTATGATTACTATTACGCTAACCAGATAATCAATATTACTAATCTACTTTAATTATTTAATTCAAGTTAAAAGCGAATTATAAATGATCATTATGCTATCAAACTGATTTTATAATTACTATAATCACTATTATACTATACTATATAACTAAATAATATTGATACTACTAATTTACTTTAATTATTCAATTTAAGTATTTTTTTAAAAATGTGTAAGATTGTAATAAAAAAAAATTAATAAATTTAAAAAAATATGTTGTTTAAAACCAAATTATAATTTGCATAAATGTTCAATTTAAAAAAATCCAAATCGAATTATAAACTTTAATTAAAATAAATTAAACAATTTCATTACAAAATTTGCTATATAAAGCAGTTTTTTTTTGATACCCAATTTTAAGATTTTTTTTAAACACGCCACCTAAACGAATTATAGCATATACTCGTGCACAAGAATTTCTGGAAGATTTTTTTTGTAATAATGAACTTTAATGTGCTGATTTTATAATTATTTAGTTAATTGGGACCATAAACCGACTATTATTACACATATAAATGCAACAAATCATAAAAAATTTAAAGAAAATGCAAACTCTCGACAAACAAATTTAGTGCAACAAATATAAACTCAATAATTAGTAGAAATGAATCAAAAAAAAGTATAACTAATAATTTAGTTTTGGCATTTGTTAATACTGACATACCTTTAGAAAAAGTTAATAAATTTCTTTTATAAATAAAAGAATATGTAAGAGAGGGGGTAATATTTAAAACTATTAATCTAAATTTGATAAAACCTTTTTTATTTAGTAGAGATAGAATTTCTTTATAAAATAAAAAAAAATTACTAGAATTTAATTACTAATTATTAGAAATAATTAAGATTTATGAAAAAAAGCATATAGTTATTATTTATATTAATTTTTTATTAAATATTTGTGGATTCTTTGTAATTTTTTTTACAATATTGGTAAAAACTACATCTTTAAAATAAAAAAAAATTTAATTAGATTATATAAATAAATTTTTTAAAATTATTATTAATTAGATATTTATTTTTAAAAATAAATAATTTTTAAATTATTGATTATTTTAAATAATTTTATTACCAAAATACTCCTCTTAGTTAGAAAATTTTAACAAAACTTATTTTATCAAAATTTGATTATTAGATTACAAAATATTTAAAAATTTATAATTTTATTTGGATTAGTAGTTTACTTAAAAACTATAAATAACTTTTATAGAAGTTATTTATAGTCTAAGTAATTTTTTAAAATCTACTAATTCAAATAATATAAAATTTTAAATAATATTACAAATTAAATATTTTTAATCTAAAAATATAAAAAATTACAAATTTTTAAATATTATGTAATTTAGTGATCAGATTTTAATGAAATAAGTTTTATTAAAATTTTCTTTCTAAGAGGAGTATTTTGGCAATAAAATTATTTAAAATAAATCAATAGTTCAAAAATTATTATCTTTAAAAATAAATATCTAATTAATAATAATTTTAAAAAATTTACTTATATAATCTAATTAAATTTTTTTTTATTTTAAAAATAAAGCTTTTACCAATATTATAAAAAAAAAATTATAAAGAATTCACAAATATTTAATAAAAAAAATTAATATAAATAATAACTACATGCTTTTTTTAATAAATCTTAATTATTTCTAATAATTAATAATTAAATTCTAGTAATTTTTTTTTTATTTTATAAAGAAATTCTATCGCTACCAAATAAAAAAAGGTTTATCAAATTTGGATCAATAAAAATTAATAAGAAAGATTAAATTTAAAATTTTTATTTTTGTTAATTTTTTAATCAACTATCTATCAAAACTATTTCAAAATTTGATATTATATAAAAAAGTTCTTCTACTATAATACTTTAAAATTTCTTCAAATTTGAATTAATAGATATTAAAATATTTAAAAAAAATACATAAACATTTACTAAATTTTTCAAACCTCCAAAAATAAATCAATAAATTGTTAATTATACAAGTATATAATTTAAAAATAACATCACATGATTACAGAGAAATATAGATTTAGGTAAATAAATAAAAGCCAAAATTAATTAGTAAGTTTTTGTGTTATAATCCAAGTCCTTAGGTGTAGAATTATTTTTGTCACCCCTGTACTTATACAATTCTTTACTCCCTGCAACTTAGTCGTATCTCTGGTTTATTCTCAAATTTTTCAATAAGTAGTAAAACCCCAGAAACACCAAAATCCCCAGAAACATCAAAAACCCAAGAAACATTAAATCACCAGAAGCATCAAAACCACCAGAAACATTAAGATCATTAGAAATATCAAGATCATCAGAAATATCAAGATCACCAGAAGCATCAGAAGCATGAGAGCATACCGAATTGCTACAAATCAAACCGATCATACAGTCATCATGCTCTTCACATGGTTCATCTTCGATACAATCTTGATACCCACCACCAATACATTCTCGTTTCGTCAGATGACTAGATTTAACTGCAATGCCAAATACATGAGAAAAAAAATAGAGATATAAGACACAAATGAAAATAATTGATTACCTTCGCGGAGAGGTGATGCATGAATTGCCAAGCCATAGGCGAGACAAATAAGAACCATGAGCACAAAAATATACTTCATTGTAAAATATTCCTGTTAGAGTAAGTTGTATAGTATTTTTTTATAGAAGTGTTTAGATTTTTGAATTTTCTTTTTTTTTTTGTTTAAACAAACATGTGCTGTTTATATAAATATTGTGAATGAAATTGATTTTCGTCTGAATTTATCTATAAAAAATATAAATTGAGGTTTCAGAATTAACCAATTATGAAAATAAGTAAGAATTTAAGAATCATATTTTCTATTTAGAATTCCGAATCAAAAAAATTAATTAAGCATAATGATGGTAAAATTAGCTTTTATTGATGAACATTTACCACTAAGTGAATTAGTAAAAAAAAGTACAAAATCACATCTTGAAATTCAAAAAAAATCATAAACCTCTATAACGCGGACCAGAATTCTGAATAAATTCCTAAATGCCGAAATATTCCTAAACCGAGTAAAATTTCCATGTGCACAATGTTTCATAATGCGCATGAAGTTTGAAAAAACAATTATACATCATTAATCGTCCGCCGATTACAGCAATTTGAAAAGCATAATCATCGTCCAACATCGCCATATTGGGGGTTTCATTATTAATTATTCTGCATAATTAAATTTATCAAAAGCTATAATTAATATGATTAGAGGTCCAATCCGGATAAATCCGTCATCCATTTATATTCATTTACTATTGGTATCCGGATAATCCGACAAATATTCGGATAATTATCCGGATATCAATAGTAAAACGGATATCCGAATAAATTCAGATCTGGATATCCAATAGATAAATGGATAAACGGATAATGGATAGGAACTCTAAATATGATAATATAAAAGTGCATTCATTCAAGATCTGTTAGTACGAATGTATATACATATGGAAAGCTTGTCGACGATATAACAAAAGCGTTCATTACTGTGATTATAGCAGATCACATACAGTGTTAAAAATTCGTTGTGTATGTATTGTTATTTGCACAAAATTAACAATACGCTGTTGTCACGGGTTTCGTGACGTAGGAAATAGGGCTTAGATATTTTTATTTATTTATTTTTTTTTTATTATTTGTTTTATTCTTGTATTATTTATTTTTATCTTTTGTTTACGCTAATTAACGGATGTCAACAATTGTGAGTGACTGTAAGCGGCTGATAATTGTGAGTATTTGTGAACGAGTGGGGACAATTGTAAGTCAAGGGCAGTGTTGGGTGGTTTCTTGACGCAGATTGACCACGATACGATAGGAGGTAAGATGGGAAATATAAGACATTATAATACTTAAAACAGCCGTTTATAAGATAGAAAAAATATTTAAAGACTATCGTTTCCGTTAAATAAAAGTTTTCTCAGACTTCGATGTCTTTAATAAGTTGAAAATAAGAGTCGATTCTCATTTGATTAAATACAGTTTAGTGAACGATTATTGTGTCTTAATAATACATTATTATTTATCTTACTGTTATTCTATAATTATCTCTATTCGATAACCTATTACCATCAACTTTATCATTGTTATCTAAAAACGACATTATTTTGAACCCATCCGCCCCATTACCTATAATACCTACATCCCATTGTGCTTAAACCGTCATTATTAACCTGAACGCCATCCTCATAATTTCCCAATAAGTTACCCTTAAATTATTTGCATAACCCAAATCGGGACTGATCTAGCGATAACCCGATCCGGATCTACGTAATACGTGCGTGACCTTCTATCACGTGTACAAGTCTCTATAAACGATATTAATAGACCCTTCTGTTTACTAATGGAGCTAACCCGTACATTATATCCGCATCGCTCTCCCGACACTGTGCAAATGCACAAAAAATAAAATAACATTTATGCATAATAAAATTTTCTTGCACAAAATATTTGTGCAGAATTTTTAACACTGATCAAAATTCAATTTACCCTACCATTTTAGGTAGTCATTAACTAGCTAATGAATGCAGGTAGTATGGTGATTTACATATAATAATAATGGTTTGTAATCATGTTATAAATTCAAAATTTGCATATAATTATAATAACAATTAGAGCTTGTAGTTGATATTTATCAACTTTGCCAGCTTAGTTAGCCGATTTTTCAAAAACTCAACCTAGTTGATTTTATGTTAGATTATATTAAAGTACCAATCAGATTTAATACATTACCTCACTTAGTACATAGTACTAAGAGTAAGAGCTGAGAAATTCTGAAAAGAAAATCAACAAACATAAAGTTGCAACAAAAATTTGATGAAATTACTGATAAATTTTGAAGGTAAAAAATATGTTAATATTACAGGATTTTTTTTTTTTTACTTCTCTATAAAGAAAAAAAATATATACCACATTTTATAAAAGAAGAACAAGATTTAGAAAGAGAAAGAGACAAAAAAGAAAAAAGAAAAAAACAAGAACAAGAAAAAAAAAGTATGTACTAAATTTGATTTGATTATAAATAAACGAAGATGAAAAAAGCAAAAAAAAAGATATAGTAATCTGATATACTAAAAAAAGAAA